GTGTGTGTGTGTGTGTGTGTATATATATATGTATATACACACACACACACATACATACATATACATTTTATATATATATATATATATAGAGAGAGAGAGAGAGAGAGAGAGATCATGGTTTGGGTAGCAAGCCAATACCTCATCTGCATGAGCCCTAACTGTCCCCAAAATGCATGATTTCTCTTCCACTGTATAACACAGAGACAATAAAACATGCAGATCCTGCCAAGTTAAATCGTAGGTCAGAGTTAATTTCTCAAACTCATCTATGAATTTTCTGGGATCTTCAAAGAAATAACAAAACTTCTCTTTACAGAGCCAAATGAGACATAGAAAAGAGAACATGTGCTCTCACAGCACCTTCTTCCCCATCTGCCACCTATCTAAGTGGACGAAAGTTTCCCCTTGGAAGTTGATAGGAAGCTCCGCTTTGAGTAGTACTTGTTGGTCTAAGTTTATCAGGGAGTGGTGGTTATAGAGTGGGACTAGATGGATAAGGAGGAGGGGACGCAGGGTTCTCAATAAAACTTTCAGATGGACTACAGGGAGAAAGGATCGACACATCTGAATCTTCAGAGCTGACAGAAGGAAGTTCTGCTCCACACAAAACTGCCCCCGGAACGGGGGGGGGGGGGGGGTGGGGCGGCATGCATTAAAGGATCATCTATTATGTCCAGCTCTTTTTCTTCTTTTCCTCTCATCAAACATTCACATGCCTGCTGCAGGGTTTTATCCTGACTGAGTAGCAAAAATGCTTGAACATATGGTATTTTATTCCATTTTCTCTCCTGCTTACAAAACAAATCGAGCTGTAATATTAAATTCCATAGTTCCAGTAAGAGGCCGTTTCTCTTGTTTTTCCAATTAATACCAAGGTCAAACAGTATTTTACGGAAACCCCAGTTTTCTCTTCTTAAGTCCATTCAGTTTAAACTGGTGCTTGATGTTCAAGAATACATCCTAGTGGTGAGTTCTCTAGAATTGATGCTGTGGTTCCCATCAAGGAAGCAGATGCTGTTCAACGAAAAGTTCCAACTTTTCTTTTTTGGGATCGTATTGTCACTGGCCAAGTTCCACTTAAAAGGATGAGAGGTTTTCTAAGGTCAGCTGCATTAATGAGGGGGTCCTTGCCGAAATTTGAATTCCCTTATTTGCATTATCCAAATAATTTAAGTGAGCCAAGCCCTGAATCTTAGACTTTAACAAAAATGTCAAATAAAGCAAAGGAACTTGGAGAGGATTTAGATGGGAATCACCAGAGCAAGCAGGAACTGGGCAATAGCAACAGTGTGGATTGAACAAGCAAAGCCAGTCTGCCCAAATCCAAGAAAGGAAAGAAGTTGTTTTTTTTTAGTGTGTAAAATGAAACAAAACAGCAAGGAGAAGAGTCGCCTGATTTCTATCCCAGTGCTTCTTGATCACACCTAGTTGGCAAAGCAGCAACAGACAACCACATCTATCTAATATTATTGCTCTTAGCTGTTAAACATCGAGTCTCAATCAGCAATTGTAAAGACAGAGCCTTTAATGCTTTTTGTTCTGAATGTTTCGCAAGCAAATGGACAGAAATCAGAAGGCACATAGGAAAAGAGTAAAATCCCTAAAGACCAGTTAAATAAAGTCTCCTGAAAGTGACGGTGAAACAGAGAAAGCAACCAAGAAATTGATTCATGCAGCAAGGAGGACAAGGCAGATTAATGCAAAGAGCACAGCCTGCAGTGCCCAACCTGTTTTCAGTCAAGAAGGACTTTATTGAGAGGGGTCTCTAACCCCTTAAATCTTAGCAGGGACTCTAACACTCCTAAGTTGGGCCTCTAACCCAAGGTCAGTCAAGCACCCTTGCCTTTTATTAAAAGAGGACACTATCCCACTCTGTCTTAGGAGAGACTCTAACTCCCCTAAGTTGGGCCTCCAACCCAATCCCATTCTTTACCCAGATATATGCACCCCACTTACCCAAAGTCAGCCAACTGGTGTACACAGATGATTTTCCTTTGGGTCGGGTCTCTTCAGTATCATTCTTGCCATGGTCCACCAGAAATATTTTACCAGAAAGTGGTCTTGATCCAGACCCCAAGAGAGTATTCTTGGATGTCAAACAAGAAATAATTCAGGGAGAGTATGCAGTGTGAAGTAAAAGCAAGTTTATTAAGAAAGCCAGGCGTGGTGGCTCATACCTGTAATCCCAGCATTTTGGGAGCCCAGGGGAAAAGGCTGCTTGAGCTCAGGAGTTCAACACCAACTTGGGAAACATAGTAAGAACCCATCTCTATAAAAAAATAAAAACAAACAAAAAATACATGCCTGTAGTCCTAGATTGAGGAGGCTGAGGCTGGAGGATTGCTTAACCCTGGGAGGCTGAGGCTGCAGTGAGATCAGATGGCACCATAGAACTCCAACCTGGGTGACAGAGCAAGACTCTGTGTCAAAACAAAACAAACAAACAAGCAAAACTCTCACATTCAGACTTTGAGCTAGATGACCCTGTGATTTCTCATTTAAATAGGACACTTTGAAAGTGAAAAGGGATTCTGCAAAAAGCTATACCGGCTCAAGAAACATAAATTGGTATTGTATGAGGACTTGGTAAAAATTATGCCTCCCACTCTTCACTGATAGCCTGCCTCTAGTTTCCTCTGTCAAATTTGCTTCCTTAAACATCACTTTCAGCATGGAATCCCTTATGCTCAAAAAGCCAGCAGCTATCTGTTTCCTGGGAAGTCAAGCAAAAAACCTCTTACCAGATTTCTGAGGTACTTTAAAATCTGACCCTTCCTTAGCAAACCTCAATTGCCACTGTGCCCAGCATGCTCATTGTAGTATCCTTGCTGGGCTTGCTGAGCACAGGAACTCACATGTCTTGTAACCACTGTCTCCAGCACCTGCCTAGCCCCCAGCACCTGCACAGCCCCCAGCACGTAGCAGGTGCTCCAGTATGAGAATGCTAAGAAGGGCTCTTGGCTTTCCACAGCATGGAGCACACTCTTTCCATCTGCTCTCTGCTCTATTGCACCTAAGATGCCTTGCCATCTCTCCCAGACCCACTTAATTCCTACCAAATTCCAATCAAGGTGACAGCATGTACACTCTCCCCTACCTTCCATTGGCATAAGATGAAATAATGCTTTAAAAAATTTAGATGTATACAACCCATTCCAAAACAAGAGGAAAATCTCGTGAAACTGAATGCAGAGGAAATTCACATTGATGGGGCAGGGGGTTGAAGTCACATGGCCCAAGGGCGCTCATGGCCAGACAAGGGATGATGGTGGGTCCTGGGCTTCAGCACTGCCTGGGAAGGTCTGCAGGGCCCATGGTGGGACACTGGAATCTCTGTGTAGCCAGAGCCCCCGAAGTGAAATAACTCCACTGGAGAGCCCAGAGGTGGGTGGCAGCTGGGAGTGAGCAGCTCTGGGAGGAAACAGAGGCCGCCAAGCATAACAGGAGTCAAAACAGAAGTGAGGCTGGGTGGCACAAATGGAGCACTTCCCATCTAGGGTGGGAGTCTGTGAAGGTTAATTTTATGTGTCAGTGTGACTAGGTCATAATATCCACATATTGTTCAAACATTAGATATTTCTGGGAAGGTATTTTTAAGATGAGATTAACATTTAAATCAGTAGTAAGCCAGATGTGTTGTTCATGCCTATAATCCTGGTGCTTTGGGAGGCCAAGGCAGGAGGACCGCTGGAGGCCAGGAGCTGGAGACCAACCTACGCAACACAGCAAGACCCTGTTTCTGCAAAAAATAAAATAATTAATTAGGTATTGTGACATGCACTTGTAATCCTTGCTACTCTTAGCTATTCAGGAGGCTGAAGTGGGAGAACTGCTTGGGCCCAAGAGTTCAAGCCCATCTTGGGCAATGTAGCAAGAGCACATCTCCAGAAAAAAATTTAAAAATTAGCTGGGCATGGTGATATGTGCCTGTAGTCCCAGCTAGCCAGGAGGCTGTGGCTGGAGGATCACTAGAGTCCAGGAATTCAAGGTTACAGTGAAGTATGATTGTGCCACTGCACTTAAGCCTGAACAACAGAGTGAAACTCTATCTCTAAAAAACAAACAATAAATAGATCAGTAGACTTTGAGTATAGCAGATTATGCCTCTATTATGTAAGTTCTGCCTATAGGTGGTCTTTGGACTCAAAGTGCAATTCATCCCTGGGTCTCCAGCCTGCTGCCTTACCCTACAGAGTTTGGATTTACCAACCCTCCACAATCAGATGCACCAATTCCTTAAAATCTCTCTTTCTCCATGTAAATATCTCCTGTTGGCTCTGTTCTCTGGAGAACCATGAGTATTACAGAGTCCTAAATCCCTTAATGTAGGAAATAGCCAGTGTTTCCAGACCAGGCTGTTAACATCCAGGTTGTTAAGATGGAAAGAGTTCAGCACCGAATGCTGAGCAGGATGAACTCAAAAACCACCATAAAACCTCACATCTATGTGTAATTGCTCATTTATTGGGGGCTATCGATTTAGTGATTTATTGCCAGGCTCTGTTCTAAGTACTGGAGATTCGGTGGGGGAACACTCACACACATATAGGATGTATGTAGAATATGATACATATATATGTTTTTTATATAAATATACAACTTTAAATTCATGTGTAGATAAGTACTATGAAGGAAAAATAAACAAATGGTCAGGGAAAGCCTTTCTGAAGAGGTGGCATTTAAGCTGAGACAGAATGAAGTGGGGGACAAGTCAAGTGAAATGACCAAACATGGATAACAAAGGGGGAGGTCTTATAAGCAAGCAGGAAGAAAAGACTTGCCCCTTACAAAACAATGGTAAATTGGCAGCTGCCACTTCAGCACTGAAGGTAAATACTAGAATAATTCCATCCCCAAGTAAAGTATTGCTCAGGAGTGACAGTGAGATGGACACAGCCAGACACCAGGGCTAGGAAGATTGGCTGTCTGAGTACCTTCCTGAAAGAACTACCGAACTTTATCTATTTCCCGTAAGAGAAAATGAATCCAAAAGGTGTGGAACAGAAAAACAATGGTGAACGAAGAAATTATTACAACGTGTCCAAAATCGTAAGTTACATTTTCCCTGTATTTTAAGTCTTGTGCATAATATACTAGATAAACACCTGGAAGATGGGAAATAGGGGAAATTTGGAAAGATGTTAAAGTGTCTAAGGCCTTTGTCTTGAGGAGGAGGAGGTTAGAGATTCTGATTCCATTTAGACCTGGTCACAGTACATAGCTTCTCCTCATTCTGCACAGTCTAGATTGGGTTGGATTGAACCTTCTTCATGAGTCATCTCTGATTACCCAGCTCTCTTTCATTTGTCTCCAGAACTCCTCTAGCAGTTTTAGCCTGTCCATACAATTTAGCCCTTAGCCACACAGTGTCACTTGTCTACATAGTGCTGAAGGCTCAGGCTCTCAAGTTGCCATTGATTAATTGGCTGGAGTGGCATTGAGAAAAGCACCTGGCTAACACCTGCTTCTGATGCACCATTACCTAGCTTTGTGAGCTTGGACACGTTGCCAGCCACTCTAGGTTTCAGAGGTTTTTCAGTCGGTAAAATGAGAGGATATAGTGCGATGGCTGCTAAGATTTCTTCTAGCATAAATAATCTGTCTTGCTTCTTCCACTCCTTTCCTGCATTTCCTGGAGAGAAACTGTCCAGAAAGATCACCAGGTGATGACCTACCTAAAGAGTGAGACCCTGTCTAACAGACTAAAGTGCAGTGGCATGATCATGCCCATTGCATCCTGGACGTCCTGGGCTCAAGTGATCCTCCCACCTCAACCTCATGAGTAGCTGGGACCACACCCACCTAATTTTTTTTTATTAATATTTGTAGAGATGAGGTTCCACTATGTTGGTCAGGCTGGTGTTGAACTCCTGGGCTCAAACAATCCTCCTGCCATGACCTCCCAAAGTATTGGGATTATAGGTGTGAGCCACCGTGCCCAGCATCTGTTGCATATTCTTTTCAGCTTCCTGTCTCCTGCACACGGACTTTCTCCCTAGACACTGAACCAGTGACTTAATCTACCCTTTGACGCCTGCCTGATCCCTTAAGTCTCACCCAGATCCCCCACAATGGCACTGATGTCCTACTTAGGTGCTGGCTTCTGCTCCAACTGACACCTACCTGGGTCTGGGTTACTTCCATGCTTTCCCCTTCTCCTGGGTTGTCAGTCTTTTCAGCTCTTCAGATCCCATGTGCTCACTCCTTGTATGTAATACTACACGACAGCAAAAACATAGATTTATTAAAAGCAAAGACCTCAGAAACTACAGGGGATGTTGAAAATTTCTTCAAAGACTGTAAGGTACACCTCTATACCAGCCTGCTCTCTCCCAGTACCTTTCTTTATAGCCTTGAGGTCAGGTATTAACAAGGGTCAGAGGAGGGGTATGTTGTATGGGAAAACAGTCAGCTTTCTTCTTCTTGAAAACACTGATGTGCTTCTACACTGCTGCCTAGACTCCCTTGGGTGCATATTCTTAGGCCTTTTATCAGAAACAATGTTTTCTTATTTGGTGACAACTTTTGATGGGCCAGATATATATTCCAAAGTAAGAGTTACAGCAAGAGACAGCATATACATATAAATTATCTATTGCTGCCTAACAAATTACCACACACTTAGCAACCGACAAGAGTACACCTTTATTATCTCACAGTTTCTGTGGTCAGGCTTCTAGGCTTGAATTACCTGAGTCCTCTGTTTCAGGGACTCTTACAAGGGTATAATTAATGTGTGAACTGAAGCTGTAGTCTCATCTGAAAACTCAACTGGGGAAGGGATTCATATCCAAGCTCACATGATTGTTGGCAGAGTTCAGTTCCTGGAATGTTGTTGAACTGAGGGCCTCTGTTCCTTGCTAATTGTTGGCCAGAGGCCACCCTTAGTTCTGTATGCAATGTAATAATGGAAACGAAATCCCATCACCTTTGTCACATTCTGTTGTTAAAAAGGAAGTCATAGGTCCTACCCACACTCAAGAGGAGAAGATCACATGTGGTACAAACACCAAGCAGTAGGGATCCTGGGGCAGTAAAATATAGTGGTGAAGACATGGACTCTGGAGTTGTCTGCTTTCAAATCTCAGACCCACCATTTAGTATCTGTGTTTCAGTTTCTTCTTTGTGTAACAGGGATAATAATACTAGTTGTGTTATAGGGTTGTTGTGAGGATTAAATGAGTTATTAAATTTCTTAGCACAGCCTGGCATATAGTAATTGTCATGTTACTTCTAATTACTGAATTTTCTCTTTGTTGCTCTTTCTAGAGAGGAGGGCATGGCAGCTGGGCAATGTTTGCCTTCTCTCTAGAAGATTTTACACTCTTAGGCAGTGGTGCTTTTCAATCATTTCCACATACATATCAAGTATACACAGTGGTTTGAAGATAATTACAAATAAGTCTCATGTTATGCATTTAACAAATTGCTTCCTATTGATTTATGTCAGGTTACTCAAGGGGAGGGTGAGAGCCCACAAATGATAAGTAAGGTGACTAGAGCCAACAATTCAGATAGAAGAGTCTTTGGGGGCAATTTGATATCGTACAAAGTGCTTTCATCTTTAGGAACTGTTAAGATTGGACCATCAAATATTTATGGGCTTTAGCAAAACCTGTTGTCCTTCAGCTAGCTTGTGGAGTCTGTTACATGAGTTCTGAATTAAAACTATTGCCTACGGTGGGCCTTTCGGAAGGGTTCTGTGCAGAAAATGATCTTTAAAGATGCTTTAGCTTTGTAATTGAAGGAGTAGATGGAATTGGCCCCTGTGCAGCCTCCAGGTAGGAATTGTAATAACTTTGTTTAAAATAGTGATATGATGTATTAGGAAGAAAAGGAGGTTTAAACAAGCCCAGAAAAACCATACAGTATTGTGATATTATGAAATATGTGTTTGGTCTTTGTCCCCGTTTTCTGGTACAAAGCTTCTAAAACCCTTTGTCCTGGTTTCCTGATACATACTCCTAAAGCCTGAGTGATAAGAGTGTCCTTTGCATGTTATTGAGCTGACTCAATAACATAGGTGGCTGGGGGCCCCTAAATAGCTTCAGGACAGGGGCTCGTCATTGGAAAGACCAAGGCATTGAAGATTGGGCCTTTTAGCCCCAGCCTCTAACCTCAGGGTTGGGGAGAGGGACTGAAGGTTAAGTTGATCACCAGCGGACAGTGATTTAATCAATCATACATTGGTAATGAAGCTTTTAGTTTGGAAAGTTTCTGGATAGCTAAACACGTGGAGGTTCCTGGAGGGTGGTGTGCCCAGAGAGGACACAGAAGCTCCACATCCCTTCCCACAAACCCTTCCCTACACACCTCTTCACCTGAATCCTCCGTAATGTCCTTCATAATACACTGGTAAACCTAAGTGTTTCCCTGAGTTCTGTGAGCTGTCTTAAACTTGAGGAGGGGGTCATGGACATCCCAATTTATAGCCAGTTGGCTGGAAATACAGGACACAACCTGGGTCTTGTGATAGGCATCTAAAGTAGGGGGCAGTGTATGGAACTGAACACTTAACTGTGGGAGTTTCAGAATTGGGTTGAATTACAGGATACTCATTTGGTGTCTTCCTGAGAATTGCTTGCTCGGTGTGTGGGGAAAACTCCCACATATCTGGTGGCAGAAGTGCTGGGTGAGAAAAACACCAACACCAACACTGTTTTTCCCCTATACCTAATAACTATATTTCACCAAATTAAGAAAACATTCAATAGTAATAAAGATTCCAGAATTTAAATAGCCAATGATGTTGGAATAATCACCATGAGTCACTATTTTTAGAAAGTTTGACAAAGGACAGATTTTGTCTAGTACCATACCAGTAGTGCAGGCTCACAGTGTTGTCAGTCAAGACAGATGCAAATGCCTGTCACTAGGATAAGTGGCAAAATGACAGAGCTGAGCTAGCAGATGTCAAATGCTCAGAGTAAGTGTGTCTATTAGGATTACATTTAGCTGCAAGTAACAGAACACCTAACTGACAAGGCCCAAACAAGGGAGGGGTTTATTTGTCACATGCAACACAAAGTCTGGAGGTAGATGATTCTCGGCAAGTATACCAGTTCCAAATGTCATCAAGGACAAGTTCTGTTTATCTTTCTCTTCTGTCTTAGCAAGTGGCTTTCATTTTCATGGTCTCCAGATGGTGGCTGCATCCCCAGGTGTCATCGGGGAGGGAGAGGCTGAAAGGCAGTAGGTAAGGAGCTGTGCCCATCCCTTTAAAGAACTTCCCTCAGAGCTCTATCCAGTAACTTCCTTTTATTATGAAGACTAAGCTCTGATTATTATTATTATTTTTTGAGACAGAGTCTCATTCTTCTCACCCAGGCTGGAGTGCAGTGGCGCAATCTCAGCTCACTGAAACCTCTGCCTCCCGGGTTCAAGCAATTCTCCTGTCTCAGCTTCCCAAGTAACTGGGACTACAAGTTCATCCCACCATGTCCAGCTAATTTTTTTTGTATTTTTAGTAGAGAAGGCGTTTCACCATGCTGGCCAGGCTGATCTTGAACTCCTGACCTTATGATCTGCCTGCATCGGCTGCCCAAAGTGCTGGGATTACAGGCATGAGCCACCACACCCAGCAACAGCTCTGAATTTTTTTTTTTTTATCTTGGCCAAATTCCTATCTAAGGGGTCTGGGGAGTCATGCCCTATAAACCATAAATTCTCATCAGCTGGGCATTTGTTAACCCTATATATTGTGATTTATTTTCCAGCTTGACTCTGGCCTAACATTATGTGGCAACAAAGAAAATCAACATATTTTACTGCTAAAGCATGTTTTTTGTCATATTTTGAAATGGCCCTGCCAGATGTCCTTTGTGGGGGAAAATTCACATCTGTAAGGAATCTCTATTAACATAGCTAGACATTTTCCTTTCAGGCCCTTCCAATTCTGGATAGATGAACTGAGAGTCTAACACCTTTTAAAGGGTCTGGATAGGAAACATTTGTCATCTATTGTTTCTAACGGCAGCTGCTATGAGACTGCCAAAGAACCTTGGTCTCCACAATCTTATCTTAACCCAAACATTTCCTTTCTATTAATC